CTTAAATCCCAATGAGTAGATATTGCATTTTTGAGTGGAATTTCCACTTGTAGAACTTAACCCCACAAACAATTCTTCCTCTTTCCACATTCTTGACAAGTCAATAGGGCAAGAAACCAATGGATTAAGTGGCCTAATGTCACCTAATTTACTTAACCTGACTTCTAATCTCTTTGTACTTGCTTCATAATCAATCCAAGATTGTAACTTTTCACCACTATTCAGCTCCAATTTAACAGAGCTAACATTGCTCACTTTGACAGATACAAAGCTGCTTAAATCAACACCAACATGATTTCCATTCACATCACCATATTTCTTATCCAAGAATGTATCAAATTCCACAGCAAGAAACTTCATTTTTCTAACACCCAATAGCCCAAATGAGCCACCATCAAACATATTAAATGGATATCCAATTGGTACCATTACAAAAGCAAAGCCATCCCCATTTTCTCTTGATAAGGAAAACACAAAATGCATTGAAAAAGACACCATTTTTCTTGGATTTCTCTCAACTAGCTTAATGGGTTTTTTGTTCAAGATTCTTCCTGCAGTAAAACCCATTGACCCACTCATTTGTATACCACCATTAAAAACCTTAGCATCACCATAAAGTGCAAGCTGAGACTCAAAGTTTGAATCTTTACCAAAATTCTCAAAATCAAATGACAAGTTTTGTTCCTCAGATAGGCTGATTCTGAAGTAAAAACACAAGTAAAAGAACACTATAAGGTACCTGAAAATTGATAAAGTACCCATTCTTGATCTTGGCTTGATTTGAGCTAAAGAAGCTGCAACTTTTTTTTACCCTTTTTGTGCTGGATTTACCAAGGTTTCTTTTTAGATGAACCCATATAGAGAAATATCAAGAAAGCTAATATATAAAAATAATTTTGAGGGTATTTATTACTATATTATAGTGGAATTTTCTAGGGTTTGAGTTGAGTGCTGAGAAAGAAGAAGGAGAATGCTTGGGGAAATGGGCAAGAGGATGGTGGACTGGTGGTGATATGGGGGGAGTGGTAGGTTGGACTTGGAGGTTGTGAAAATTAAATGCAAGTTTTACTTGTTTTCTGCAACTCTTCTGATTCACTTTCCCTTCAGTGGTTGCTGACTGAGGGAATATAATATGAGATTCTTTAATCTTTATCATAATGTCCTCCTATTTTCCCATATTATCATATTTAGTCCTATTGGTATAGATTATATGAACGAACACAAAACTTACGAAAGAAAGAAAAGATATTTTTGTAACTTATGATCTAAAACAAGTTATATATATTTGTATGGCTATAAATTATGTCAGTAAAGATAAAATGATAAATACATCATTCTTTTTTTATAGACTAAAAAGAACAGTGTGTCATATAAATTGAGACAGAGAGGATAGTTTATATTCATTCACACTCTTTTTTTTTTAAATAAGGATTTTGCCCTTGTGGCCAATGATATGCTGAAAACCATGAAAGACTAGAGTTAAAGTAAGTTCAAACAAATATATTAGATGATTTATTTTCATTTCTGTAAGACTTCGTGGATAAAACTATTCCACATATATATTGATATAAATTAATAGGTAATTGATAGAATAATTGAGGTACAAACAAATTAGCATACATTACTCAAACTGTATTCAAGAATTGTTATTGAAAAAGTAGTCATGCTTATTGTGAAAGTCCAAAAGATGAAATGTAAAATCAATGTAAAAAGTAAGTCACGTTTTTTAACCTCCTTTTTTCATATATATAGGGCTAATTATGATTAGTGCAGTTAAGGTTCACGAAATTAAGATGTCCCACAATACACTAATGAATTTAAGCAAAGCAATTTATCATTATTAGCTTTTGAACTACGCATTATGCATCTATTGTGTCTATTGAACTTTTTCCCTAAGCATTATGGTTTTTAAAATGTCATAAAACACAATGATTGCAGAGAGATGAAGGTCGAGTTAACTAGTGCAAAGCAAAACTTGGTTGCACCTTTTCATAAAAAAACACAAAAATGTAGGTAGTAGAAACTACAGAAGTATAAAGTACAGGGGTAATAGTGATAAATACTGTGAAAGTATACGATTGCTAAAAAGACCCGGAGTACTTTACAGCCATAGAATTAGAAACACAGCTGGCACTGAAATACGAAGAATTCACAAGTTTTACACATTAGTAATTGTTATTTTTCCATTTTCTTTTCCAGTTTCTTTTTCTTTTCATTAGGTTTCAAATATTTATATTGGAGTCCGACTAATTCAAAACTATATAGTATAAGACCCATTAAAAAAAAAACGCCTCTTACTATAATTTTTTCTATTTGTAAACTCGAATCTGAAATCTTTAATTAAGAGTGGAAGAACTTATTTACCCTGTCATAATCCTTGTTGGTGATTCTTTATTTTTTTATTACTTAAGAAATTGTGTTCATTAATGAGTTAAAGAGTTTATAATAATCTAAAAAGAAAAAAGGTTTTGGGGTTGCTAAAAAGGCAAGAGATTCGTTTCGTTTTGTTAGCCAAAGTATATTATCCGACAAGAAGCAGGAGGGGGGGGGAGGGGGGAGGGGTAGTGTGTGACTGTGTGTGTGTGTGGTGCACAGTGCCTACTTTAGTAACATTTTCTTTTATGATCCAAAAATATAATACCAATAACTAATGTGCGCATGCCTTGTCTTCTCCTTGATCTATACACAACCGTCTATTTTGTATATGCATACAACTAGATAACCTTTGGATTATATATAATGCAGGTATGAGGTTATCTCTTAATATATTGACGGTACAAAATAATTTTCACTTCGAATTAGCTTAAATATAAATACAGACAACCATAATAAAAAGTGAGGGATTATTAATGACTTTAAAAGTAAAACATATGGAATAACCATTAGAACAAGTTAAATACGTTGAAATTGTAAAAAAATTGGCCATGTTTATATACTCCCTCTGTCTCAAATTATTTATCGAGATTTTTAAAAATAAGTATCTCAAACTAATTATCATTTTAGAATTTTAAGATAAAATAAATTATATTTTTTTCATTTAACCATATAGTAATTGCTCTTGAAAAAGGAGATAACACATAAATAGAGTACATATTTAATGAAGATAGATTATTCTTAAGACATAAATAAGGGTTAAATAGTCTAAAATCTCTCTTAGTTAATATTTTTTAAAAGGCATGTAAAAAAAACACGACAAATAATTTGAAACGGAAGAAGTATAAGCTAAATCCTATAGGTATATGTAGAGGGTGGTGTTCATGACTTCTTTCAATCGATCTAAGTTTTAACGGGCAAAATTATCCGTTATTTATACTAGTAAAAAAGATAAATTATACCGGATAAAATACTTAAAAGTGCATATAAGTTGATCCGAATATTATTTCATACCAAAAAAAAAAAATGTAGACGGTGATGGTTAGAGAGACAGCTAAGCAAAATGGACCTCTGCTTTGAAAGGGACGGCTGACTGAAAACATTTAACGAACCTTCTTTTTGGCTAAGGTGATTTTTGTGGTTTTCTTCTTGTCATTATGGAAATAAAGAAGTTGTTCAGGAATAAAACTCCACAAACAATATAAGAAGAACCTACTCATATTTAAAATATTCCACTGCTATGATGCCCAAATTAGGACATTGGGGATTAAGTGGCGTTTGGACATAAGAATTGTGAAATTCTGGAAAAAAGTGGGGAAAAAATTCAAGTGAAAATGATATTTTAAAATTAGAGTTGTATTTGGACATGAATGCAATTTGGAGCTGTTTTTGAATTTATGAGTGATTTGAAGTGAAAATTTAAAAATCAGTTTTTTTAATTTCCAAAAAATTCTGAAATTCAACTTCAAGTGAAATTTAAAATTTTCATGGCCAAACATTGATTCGGAAAAAAAATTAAAAAATATTTATGGCCAAACAGGCCTAAATATTACTCCCTCAGTCTCATATTATGTGTTGTGTTTCTCTTTTACACGTCCCTTAAGAAATATTAATTAGGAAAAGGATTGAAATATTCTACCCTTATTTATGTCTTAAAATATAATCACTCTTCATTGAATATTTATTCTGTTAAATCTGACCTTGAAGACGAGCTTGAAGCTCGATCTGGAGCTCCAATGGAGTCCTTCTAGAGAATTCTATACGCGAGAGAGTTTGTGAGAGATGAAACAAGAATTGAAAAGTGGAAAGCTCACTTTCTTTCTCATTACCGTACTGAGTATATACATGTGTGGACACAGCTAATGCTGAGCTGGCCACTAACTAACTCTACTCAATTACAATTAACTAACTTCACTAACTATACAACTAACTATCATACTCAATTACAATTAACTAACTTCACTAACTTTACAACTAACTATCATATAATAATATAATTATACAAATCTTAACACCCCCCCCCCCCCTCAAGTTGGATGTGTTGTATACACTGCCAACTTGCTCAAGATCGCTGAGTGCTTCACTCCTGTTAGAACCTTAGTAAGGACATCAGCCAACTGATTGTCTATTGATACATGATGAAGTGAGATTAGTCCCTCTTGTAGCTTGCTTCTGACAAAGTGATAATCCACTTCTATGTATTTTGTCCGCTCATGAAACACATGATTTTTTGCTATATGTAGAGCTGATTAGCTATCACAAAAGACCTCTACTGGTTTACCAAATGGCACAATGACCTCTTCAAGTAATCTGCACAGCCACACCAATTCTCCTACTACTTTTCTGAGTGCCCTGTACTCTGCCTCTGCTGAAGACAGTTAAATGGTCTCTTGCTTCTTAGATTTCCAGCATATAGGATTGTTCCCTAATAGAATTAAGTAACCACTTACTGACTTCCTTAAGTATGGGCAAGCAGCCCAATCAAAATCACAATAGGCTCTAATATTACTGTTTGGATCATGTGACATGAATATTCCCATGGAGGGGTCACCCTTCAAGTATCTTAGCAGGTGAAACGCTTCTTTCAGGTGGGGTTCTCTTGGATCTTGCATGAATTGGCTAACATGTTATACACTATAGGCTATGTCTATCCTTGTGCTGGTGAGAAAATTTAATTTTCTAATCAATTTTCTGTAATAGGTGGGATCAGTTAATGCAGTCCCCTCTTTAGCTTTCAAGTTCACTGCTGGATCAAGTTGTGAGGCAAGGCTACTATAATCCATGCAGTTGTACTCTTTCAGGAGATCAAGCACAAACTTTCTTTGTGAAATTACAACTCCATCAGCTTTATAGAATATTTCAAGGCCCAGAAAATAATGGAGTTTACCCAAGTCTTTAATTTTGAAACTTTCATGTAGGAATGCCTTCAGTTCCTCTATCTCCTCTTTGTTTGTTTCTGTCAGTATCACATCATCTGCATACACTATCACATATATTGTTGATTCAGTTGTCTTCTTGTAGAAAAGTGAATAATCTTACGTACAGTGGGTATATCCCTTACAACACAATGCTTCACCCAATTTTACATACCACTGTCTGCTAGCTTGTTTGAGGCCATACAAGGACTTCTTGAGTTTGCATACCTGATGTCCACTGTCTACTACCAAACCTTGTGGCAGTTCCATATACACCTCTTCATGGAGGTCCCCATGAAGAAAGGCATTATTCACATCTAACTAGAATATATCCCACCCTTTCTTGACTGTTGTAGTTATGAGAGCTCGTACTGTTGTAATTTTCACCACAGGACTGAATGTTTCTGTGTAATCAATTTCAGCTTGCTGGGTATACCCGTTTGCCACTAACCTGGCCTTCGACTTGTCTATATTGCCATATGCCTTATGCTTCGCTTTATACACCCACTTACACCCGATGGCTTGTTTCCTAACTAGTAATAGTACTAGCTCCCTGGTGTTGTTGGCATGCAATGCCTCAAACTCTTGTGTCATTGCTGCTTGCCAGGCAGGAGGTATAGCTGTCTGCTTTCTCATATGAGTTAGGCTCTTTGTCACTGCTAGTGCTTCTCACAGAGCACTGACTATCCTGATTTAGATTCTCAGCAGATATGTGAATGTGGGGAGAGGATAAGGCATTGACAGAAAGAGATGCATTGGTGTTTGGTTTCAGCTGGGGTAATATGTGAACATAATCCTTCAAGGACGTGAGAACTTTGTGTGTTCTATGAGATTGCCTTGGTTCCAAGACATGTTCAGGTGAGGTATTCCTTACAGATCTTACTAGTGAGTCATTTTGTGGGTCTTCTAGAGTATGTGAATCAAGTGAATCTATATTATTGGGGGAAAGGGATGAAGGATCAGATGACAAATCTGGATGTGTGACATTTGAAATCCCTTGATCATTTGACTCTCTAGTTTGACTTTGCTCATTGTCACTAGACACATGATCAATAAAAGGAATGGATTTAAGGACATAGGGAAATGAGGCAGTATCCTTAGACATACTTAAAGGAAAGATATTTTCATTGAAAATTACATCTCTAGATACATGTGTTTTCTTAGTAGCCAAACTGAGCACTTTGTACCCCTTTACCCCAAAGGGAAATCCAACAAAAACATGTGGTGTGTTTCTAGGTTCAAATTTATCCCTATAGATCTTGGGTACTGTAGGATAGCACAAGCACCCAAAACTCTTTATGTGAGAGTAGGTAGGTTTTTTGTTATGTAGTACTTCATATGGTGACTTGCCCTTGAAGTGAGAAAAGGGCAGTCTATTTATTATATAGGTTGCACATAGGGCATTCACCCCAATATCTTAGAGGTAATATTGACTTAAATAAGAGGGCTCTGGTTGTTTCCAATAAGTATCTATGCTTTCTTTGCACTTGTCATTTTGTTGTGGTGTATAAGGGCATGTCTTTTGGTGGATAATCCCTTTAGAAAGGAAGAACTGATTTGCTTCTATATTGTTAAACTATAGAACATTGTCTGGCCTTATAGATTGGATAGTGGTATTGAATTGGTTTTCAATCATTGACACATAGTTTTTGATGACATGCAGAACATTGCTTTTGCTGGTTAATAGGTGAGTCCAGGTGGACCTACTATAATCATCCACAATGGTGATGAAATATCTAAAGTTGTCATAAGTTGGCATGTGGTAAGGACCCCATAGATCAACATGAAGAAGTTGAAAGATCTTGGTAGAATTAGTGGATTTTTCTGGAAATGGTAATCTCCCCAGTCTTGCCATTGGGCAGACAGAGCAGGTAAATGGTTGTTTTGGTGAGAAAGATTCTGGAATACTGGATATTTCCTTCATCTTGACAAAGGGCACATGACCCAGTCTGTTATGCCACAACACATTTATATCATTACTTGAAGAAATGGGAGAATTGATACTATTCACAATGGGGAGTTGCACCTTATTATTTGGGAAACATGTATTTACAACTGAATGAGATGTGCAATTATCCCTAGACAATAAGCTATTTACAGTGGAATGATGAAAGAGTGTGAGTTGTGTGTGCAACAAGTGAAACAAAACAGAACTAGCAATTGAACTATTTACAATTGATTTTGAATGGTTGTTCCTGAGACACCTTAGGCAGAGTGATAGAGTCCATCACTGATTTTACCAATTTTTAGAGGCCTCTTCATTGAAGGGGCCTGCAGAAGACAAATGTTGTCAGTAAAGGCAAGTATACTATGAGGAGTTGAGCTGGTTAATGAATGAATTGATATGAGGTTATATTTGAAGGAAGGTATATACATGACTTTTTACAAAATGATCTTAGGAGACAATGTCAGACTTCCAATTTGTGTTACTTTTACTATATATCCGTTTGGAAGTGTGAGCATGTGATTTTTGCCTCGCACGAATGACTCCTACAGATTTCTTAGATTTAGGATTTTTCTTTTAATTGTTTAATTTGTAGGAATTAATTGCATAATTTTCGTGTTTATTTTCATTTTACTGTGTGCATTTTTAATTTAACATAAATTCATAAAAAAATACAAAAATACGCATTTAGGATTTAATTTTATATATTTTAGATTAATTAGTAATTAGGGTTTTACAAAAAATACAAAATCACAAAAAATTGATTTATTTGCTTTGTTTAATTTTAGCTTTGAATTTTGTTCAGTTTTCATTTAGATTGGTATTTAATTAATTTGTGTTGGTTATTAATTAGAGCTTAATATAGTTGGGTAGGTTAATTTAGTTTTTAGAGTTAATTTAGATTTTTATTTTAATTTGAAAAGAAAAGAAAAGAAAATGAAAAGAAAAAGGGTTTCCTTAATAAAAGACCCGAATTTGGGCCAAATTCACCCTAAGCCCAAACCTTTACACATCTGAAACCCGTCCAAACCCAACCCAAAGTATCCGGTCCAGCTTTATTGTAATAAAATGACGCCGTTTCATTGGTGTTAGATCAGGACCGTCGAGGTTTCTTGATCGGACGGTCCTGAAGCTTGGGTCTTTTAATATTTAAATGTCCAAACGACACCCCCCTCATCTCTCTTCTCCGTAAAACCCTAGAGACCGTCTCCCTCCGCCCTGAGCCGCCGTCTGCCACCGCCGGAAATCGCCTACGGCGGTGCCCGGCGTCCAATCCTAACCAAATTTACACCACAACACCCTCATCTCCCCCTCATCATGAATCTTCCATTATTTTCCCTCGACTCCCACTGGAACCCTTCGAATCTCCAAAACCCTAGCCGCCACCTCCGCCGCCCACGGTGCGGCCACCACCCAAACACCACCCAAATTAACACCCAAACGCTACCCAAACCCCCTCTTCCCAAATCTATAGCTAATAACCCTCGAATATGTCCAGAACTCTTCAAATATTAAATCTGAGACTCGAGCCTTAGGAGTCCAAAAATTGGACCTATGCATACAAGGTCATTCTTCTGCATTTCCTCGTTTGTTCAAGCTTGTTTTGACACAAAAGAATGATACCCGTTTTTTTTTCACCAAGAACAAACGTTTGACATGGTTTTGGGTCGAATCAAAGTACCAGTTTCGATTTCGAGCCTAGCTGGTGAGTCCCTTTCATTTTTTTTTCTTTCTTTCGTTTCATTTGTGTTTCACTTTCGTTCTTCTGCCTTCTTTGGTCAAGATCATTTCAATCGAGATTAGGTCAAGGTTCTGAACCCAGGACCTCTTTTCTTAGTGCTCATTTTCCCTTTAAAGTTTGTTATCTGATTTTCTAGGTTTATTTAGTTTTGTTAATGGCATGTTTAAATCCTTGATTTCACCTCTTATTTTGGTAACTTAGTTTAATTTGATTAGGCTTATTTTGATAGCTCGTTTAGTTCTTGATTTGTTGGTGATCGTTTAATTAGTCAATTTGTTTGGTTCATTTTAGTTTTCTGAATTTGTTTTAGTTTTACTTTGCCATTTGGGATTTGAGGTCAATACAGACCTCATTCTCAGGGAATCCTGCTTGGCCTGAATTTGAGGCCGTGTCTTTTGAGACATTGAGCCCATTTAGGATCCAATAGCCCGTACCCACTTGACCCAGGTCGGTCTTCAGTGTAAATATAGGGGTCTTAAGAGGGTAATTGGGGAAACACACCTAGGGAATCTTTTTGGTAACAGTTTTCAGAAGTTTCTAGTAGGGGTCTGCTAGTAAATTTCAGATTGGACTTGGCTAGCAAGTTAGAAAATGAGGGATTAAGTAGCAAAAAGGAAAATTGGAGAAGGACTAAAAATGAAATAACTGAACCCTTAAGGCTGCCCTAGTAACTTACCTATAAAGGCATTGTTACTTGAGATGCAAGGGGGAGGAAGAGAGAAAAAACCAAAAGACGGCTGAAATTTCATAAAAATTACTGTTCCCTTAGATTTCTTTCTGTAGTTCTCAAGGTTTTGAATTTCTGAAGCAATTTCTAATTCATCTGGGATAAAAATGGACTGAATTTGGGTTTTAAAGTTTGTCTTGAAGTCTGTTGAGGTTATTGCTCGATTGAAATTGGTTTTGGGTTGCTGCAGATCATTTCTCTGTTTGAACTTGGTTTTGCTGGTGCTGACTTCTGCTATTGCTGCTGCTGACCCCTATTTCTTCTTGTTGTGATTTGATATTCAGGTACATTTCTTCCCCATAGAAGTTCTGGAAACAACCATTGTTATGTATGCATGACTTTGAAGTCTTTTGATGAAAGAATACAAATGTTCTATTGAAATCTATCTTCACAGCTGCTATTAGTCTTAATACTAGTACAATTTGTTTAGACTAAAGCTATTTGTAATTGAATAGACTGTTTAAATAGGACTGTTGACATGAATTTGGATTATTATGTGGTTGTTGAATCATGTAGGATTGTTGAGTATTCAATGACTTAGTATAGTTGTATCTGGTAATTGTTTAGCTTTCAATAGTGCAAGTAGCATAAGGAATTGGTTTCAGATTTTCGTTTATAAAGCAGTAAATAGTGTGTATATATCCGTTTTCATTCCCGTCATTAGTCCTTAACCTAATTCAGTCGATTCATTTGTGTAATAGGTCAGATCAGGAATGGATAAATAGATATTCTGTTATTTGGATAATTAGAATTGATCCAATCCTTGCAATTATGTTTTTTAGATTGATAAATTTGGGTTAACCTGTGAAAGAATAAGTAACCAAGAGTCCATATAGTTTGCAACCACATAGCTTTGT